CCGGTTCGGATCATCGGTTTGGCTCGTATCCATAAAACCCAACCCGAATTCGGCATGGGTCAACAATGCTAGCTGACCTATATCCTTTGGAGCCTCTAGCCTGGGGCCAACCTGAATCCGGCTCGACCCGGTCCGACCGAAGTGAACCGGTGYAGTCGGGTTTTGGCCCGACCGAGTTGAACCGACCCGATTGGGTGTGGTCCTAACCAGACTAAATTTGATCGGTTCGGGTCTGGTCCGACCGGTCTGAACCGGTTCAATCGGGACCTGGTATGGTCGGAAGGGTCCAGATCTAAATGGTTCAACCACTCTTGATGTGATTAGCTCAAAGACAATCCAATTAAATAGTTCAAGTTGGTCTGATCGATTTGAACCTAAGTGGTTCGTCAAATCCGAAGCCCGAACATAATTAAATGGCTTTGTTGCTTATGTAAAAATAATGCATGTAATGTGATTTGAACCTTCACCACTTGTGTAAATAACAACTAATATTACGACTAAGCTTTGACCAACTCATTTATTAGAATGGAGTTAGTTTTTGGTTTTAAGTACATAAATATAAAATTAATGGGTTTGGGCGGGTTGGATTGGGTTAAAGCGGGTTTGGGTTGAACCCAACCTATTTAATTTTACATAATTGGGTCATTAACGGGTTGGTGGGTTAAATGGGTTGGGTTGAAACTCAACCCAAACCAAACCCAACCCAACTTGCCCAATTGCTACCACTATCCATGGGTCCGGTTAAATTGTAAATCTGGCTTGACCCAATCCTATAGGGTCGGGTTAAGGTCACAGATATTCGACTTTAGGGTTGGGTTAGGGTTTTGATTATTCAACCTGACTCAGGTTTGGTTTTTGGCTGATTTGCCCTACTGGGTCATGATGCCCCACATATATACAAAGTATTTTTGTAATTTTTGACTTCTAACTCCATGGCCTTAAAGTTTAATATTTATTTATATGTTAATTTTAGTTTTCTTTCTTTTAATGTGAAAAATGACACCTTAGAATCTATAAAACAAGTTTCTAACTTAATTAATGGATTTTGGATATTCAAAATGTACTAAAAAAGTATAGTTGAAATTCTACAGGTTGGGTTGAATTCGGAAATTATGCATTTTATGATCGGGTTGAATTGGGTTCGGGTTAGGGTTGAGGCAAATTCATGCTAAACACGATTCATTGACATTCCTATTTATAATCACTTTTCATTCATGTAAAACGTTCCTAATACATGGTGAGATGTGGATGTGAGGTTGGTGTGAGGATCGTTTTRTGAGGAATAAATCCCAATTCATTTCTGTGGGGTATGGCATCTATCGTGTTRGACTTAAGATATTGTATTAATATCTTATTCTTATGTCAAGTGAACAATTTGGAATTCTTTTTTCTTGCTCCATTGGATTAATAACTTATTTTTTATATCGACCGAACAATTCGTTTTATTTTTCCTTTGTTTCCTTTGATTAATAGTTTATTTTTGGGCAAATTTTTTAAAGTAACCCTAAGTTTTAAGAAATTGACTAACAGTGCCCCAAGTTTGTTCACTGCATCTGTATCGTTTATGAATTCAGGGGGGATGAACACTTTCCAATACATTTGAACAATTCCCCCTACGCACATCTTCAGGTCTAGTGAGCTAATTGAAATAGTTAAAAAGAAGATATTTTGCTTGAAAAACCCTGTTCAAAGTTCCAACAATTGCATAAGAATTTGCCACGGAAAGAATGTTAGAATTGTTATACATAGAAGACATTGATTGAGTGAAAGGGTAACGACAACATAGCCTTTCCAAAAGTGAAGAAAAAAATGAAGGAAATGTAAATGATTTTAAAGGGGAAATCTCTCTCATCTCCCCTATGTTTTCAACAATTTCTGACCTCTCTTTTAGTTTTGAAAAATGTTTGGCTCAATTGAACAAAACGATTAAATTAACAAAATTGAACATTTTCAATTGAATTAATGCAACTCAACTTAGATTATCAAAAATATTAAATTGCTGGAAACAGTATTTATTCAATAGAGCTAAAAAAAAGAAAATCCAAAACATCGTTACGTTTCATTGTTGAAGATGGAAGGACACTTCAGAGTTCAAATCCGTATGAAACTTCTAGAAGGAAAACATCCGGGTAAATGCACTTATTAGGGTAATTGTTTTACCAAAATATGAATGGGACCTAATTCCTAAGGCCCCGTTCGTTTTTTGGTAAGTTACTTACTCGGGTAAATGCAGTTATCTGGGTAAGTTTTTCCTGAGAAACATTTATCCGGATAAGTGCATTTACCCATGTTATTTTATTTCTCATGTAAATAATGTAATGACCATTTTAGCCATAAAAATCCATTATTAAAAAGGGCATTTTTGTCCTATTCAAGTGTTGACAACTTTCCCATAGGTGGGAAAATTAATTTACCCACCTAGGAGATGGGTATCACTTATACGGATAAGTGGTACACAGGAAAATAAACTTTCCCTGGTCCCCACATAAATCTGAAAAAAGAACATGTGATTCTTGGTTAATGGGAACCAAAATCTCATCAACTTTTCCCCCTCTCAAAATCCGAAAAAAAAAACACCCCCTAAGTATTATGGTTGAGCCTAGGTTGGCCTAAAACCCAATCGCATYTTGACCAAGTAATATGAAAGTAGGTTTGTGATGGAAGGTTAACAACACTTTTCAAAATTAGGGAAGGCCATTGGGTTTTGTTCTACATCACCTTTTTTGGTTTTTTTTTTTTTTTCAAAGATGTCGTCAGGTTTCAACTTGGGTCTTGGCCAACTTGATCAACTTGACCAAATCCGAACCTGACTTAACATACTTTTCTTTATATTTATATGTATAAATATTATATGAACATTTATTTATATAAGTATTTACGCATATATTTATATGTGCAACCATACATGTTAAATCCAAACAAAAAAGTCAAGGTTTAAGAAGTTCATACCGTTCGTATGCATACCAAGAATGGGAGTAGCAGCAATCGCGGCTAGTAGAACAATAGTAACTGGAAAAATCGATCACCGGGAGCAATTGATTAGAAGAACGGCAAAGAACTTGCAAAGAGAGAAACAACACCACCAGTAACAGGAGATTAGTGGCGGTGATAGTTAAGGGTGCCAATGGACCGGTTTTGGATTGGACTCGTCCAGTCCAAAATCAATTTTGATGGATTGGGCAAACCAACAAGATATATTGGATTGGACCAATCCGGTCCAAAATATTTATTACATTGGATTGGACCTGGTCCATCCGTAACAAATTTATATTGGATTGGGTTGGATTAAGACAATATCTGGTCCATTGATATAAGATAAGAATATGTGTCAATGGACCGGTTTGGATTGAAACCAATCTAAATCAAAATGAATTTGAACAGATTGAATGGTCCAGATATTGAATTGGACCGGTCCAAATTGGTCCAAAACATTCATCGGATTGGATTGAGCCTGGTCCATTTATAATGGACTAATATTGGACTGGATCGAATTGGACCAAATCCAATCCAATTGGCACCCCTAGCCATAGTGAGTTTGCAAGTAGAACAGAGCAGAAATCCTAAGGCCTTAACCATGGATATTTTTGATTGATTGTATTTTGATGATTCACTCTACATTTGGGAAACTCAATTTTCCCAAATCGGAGAAAGGTAATATAAGGTAATACCTTGCCGGGTAAATGATACCTAGGAAAAACATCTTTATCATGGATCCCACTTAAATCCTCAAAAAGAACATAATAGAGTCAGTTAATGGGAATCACAATCCCATTGACTGACTTTCCCCCTAACAAAAAGAACATGATTGGTTTTTAGTGACAAATTTAATGGTCTTGATTTTTGGTTAGAAGATTCTGAATAAAGATATATCTCTCTCTTAAATATATTAAGACTCAGTTTGGAAGGAGTACAAATACAAATTTGTAGAATACAAAACCTTATATTTTATATTATTTTACATGTATTTGTACTGTACAAATTTGTATGAAACTTGGAAATGTTTAACAATTAGGGGTGATTATTTTTGTTCAGCCCAGCCCAGCCTGCAAATGTCAAGCTTGGGCTCGGGTCTGAAAGGAGTGGGCTGAATAGAAATCCAATCTCTGGTATTTTTAGCAGAAAGTGCACATTCTCAAGCGACCAAAAGCCTAAAACCTGCTTTCTCATAAACGCGGTGAGAGAATGGGTATCCGTAATATGGGGTCGTTTGAAAATGACTAAATGACTGACTGAACTGAATGGCTTATTACTTTATCTTTTTGTTGATACAAAACAATTGAATTATTAAATATTCAAATTTACAACCCAATTTAAATTTCTGCCATTAAAGAGTTCACAACCTACTTAATAATTTATTGATCACTAAAATACAAAGCAACAATCCATTCAATTCAGTCACTTCAGCTATTATCAAACAACCCCTTCTTGGCAGTCAAAATAGTTGAATGACTCAATTCCCTCACCCAGTGTTTATGGGCCAAGCTTCAGTGTGATAAATAAAGCTCTCATTTTAGGAAGTCTTACAATTGTTAGACACTTGCTGCATTTGGCATTCCTGGACTACTTATCTTCATTTTACTGTTAAAATGCACCAATGAACACTGTGTTTTTAACTGCAAAAAGCAGATATAAGTCCTTAAAATAAGGAATGCCAAATGCAACCTTAGACAAYCAATTCAAAGGGTCGCCTGTCCAATGGATGGATAAACACACAGCCTATGAGTCTGTGGCATTAATCGGGCTCAGGCTCAAAATCCAATTCTCGTAATACAACTTTCAAAGTATACCCCTCTCCAGCAAATAGTGCAATGCATAGTTAATGGGAAGGGGATCATTGCTGCATCTAGAAGAAAACCATCAAAATGGATTAATGAAGCCAATCCAAGCTGATCTTCTATTTAYGGGCATCCATTTTGAGGTTGGGGAGATGGGGTTGGAAAGGCTGCCATGGAATAGCTGTCTCTTCATCGCAAATCACTCGCTTCAGATGCCTAAGGTTCTTAGCTGATTCTGGCAGTTCCTTCATACTTGAGCATCGCCTCATGCCAAGCTTTTTCAAAACCCCTTAACTCATCTAACGTTTCAGGGAACTTCTTCATATTTAAGCAATCCGATACATCAAGGAACCTTAACTTCTTGAGTTTCTGAATCGAGTCTGGTAATTGTAGCAGTCCTGTACATGCATGCAACCTTAACACCTCCAGTTCTGTGAGATCTCCAATCTCTTCAGGTAGTGCAGATAAATCATGACAATTGGTAATGCTAAGCTTTTTCAGATGGGCAACATTGCCAATCCCTGGTGGCAATTTCTTCAGATCATTGCAGTAATCTATGTTGATCTCAGTGAGATTTGGCAACATTTCAGAGATCACAGTGGTGCAATTCCTGGTGGCTTCTCCAACTTCACACAACTAGTGATATCTTGTGCAAATTCTTGAAGGGCACTTTGATGTCATTGAGTGAAGGAATCAAAACTTTCTCTAACCTGAATCTCTTTAGTTGAGCTAGATTACTAAGTGCTTGCCATCCAGTGAGTTGGGCTTTTCTGCTTCCCTGGTTTGCAATGATCAGAGTTCTAAGCTTCTCCATTTTCTTGATGAATGGAGGTAGTTTATAGTCCCTCCCCAAGAAGTCCAGAAGAACTTTGGCTTCCGGAAATTGCATATTGCACCATTCTAAGGGACATATTTCACCTGCAAGATAGCTCTTTTTAAGTCATGGTGAAGAAGAAAACAATTGACTGAGCAGCACTTTGGTGTTAAAAGAAGAAGGATGATCAGGTAATTAACCTGTGAGGATGGAGGGAGACAAGGTGGGCATTTAGGAGTTGATGTTCTTCTTTCTTCCATGACTCTGGGAGGTCATCTTGTCTTCTTTCCACTGTAAGCCTCTTACTCTGCCTTATGTCTCCTTCCTTCAGGCTTCGGTAGATGGCCAATTCTCTGAGAAGATCAAGTTGAATCACGAATAGCTCATCTAAGTTACCACCAATCTCCCCTGCATCTTCCCTAATAAAATCACAAGTTCACAACCAACTAAGCAAACAGAAACAGATGATCCCACTAAGATTTTCAATTGTAGATTCGGAGAAAATGTATTTATTCTTGGAATTTAGTTGTCAGTTGCTTATTTTCCATCAGAGTGGAAAAATAAAATGAATAAGTAAATCCAGCATACCTTGCAGCTCCAACAAAATTTACAAAGTTTCGGTTGGAAAGTTTCTTGAGTATGTCATAGGCATCATTTTCACCATCAAGCTTGTAGAGCTCAACCCAAATATCCAGAAGAACAGAGGCAGGGATTTTTCGGTCCTCAGGAAAGCAACCCAAGTCCATAAAACTTTCTCGAAGATTGACATCGAGGAGTTCTATACTTGGTGCTAGGCGATCTTGTAGAACGGAATGATGATCGAAAATTGATTTAGAGCTACTTTTCGAAAGTATGCTCTCTGTCATTTCCCATATCTTTGGTTCTTCCCTTCTTAGTGACTTAGCGATCACGTTAAGAACCAAGGGCAATCCCTTGCAACCTTTCACAACCTGCAATCAGAAATGGTTTTGTATCAGAGAAGAATTACAAGGGTTAACTTAATTATTTTCTTTTTGTGCTCAAGTTAGTGGGTTCCCTAGGCACTACACCATAACCCGAGTGTGATGAGACATGGGTAAGGGCTCATAATGTAGGTATGGATATGACACTGAACAGAACAGAATGGTGAAACCAGGATTCATTTTGATGATCCCATGCAGTTGAAACAAAGCTTGGATGATATTCATGCATAGGCGGATCTATGGATATATGTCAGTATGGGCAATTGACCCATGAGTTTTGAAAAATTTTTATATAATAATGAAAATAACTAAATTTTTTTCACAATTTCCCCATTTAAATAAAATAATAGGGGTCAAATTATTTATTTATTTTGATAATAAGGGGTCAAATAATGGCACCCATGTCTCACGACCTATTTAAAACCTAAAAGGGTTTGAATATGATATCGGAAGACATGAACCCCGGAAAAACGGGAGAATGACTGATCAGTCTAGGCTAGAAGTTTTTAGCCCCACCGTATAGGGGGGATGAATCCTGACTGTAGATTGATGCCAAATCTACGGGCAGGATGCGGTTTATAGGGGGGGCTACTAGTAGATTATGGGGGATTGTAATTCAGAATTCTGCATTGAGCTGCAATGTACTTATTCCCGGAAAAACTGTTAACCAATCATAGTGGTATCGTTAAAGTGATAACCAATCATGGTAGCAGAAGGACATAATGCTTGTCGCCACTGATCAAAGGACCTGGATCCGCCATTGAATCCATGTGGATGGGACAGAAAAATCACCTTTTCTACAAGATCATCATCAACCTTCAGGCTTCCATTTTCGGCTGCCAATTGACAGAAGAGTTTAATTGAATTTCTGTGGCTTAGTGTTTTCACTTTATATACAGAATCAAACTCTTTCAATTCTGTTCTTGATGTTATCAACATCTTGAACATCTTGTAAGTCACTGTGTTAAAAGCAGGCTTCAGTTTCTCAATGTCTGAGTCTGACCAAACATCATCTAGAACCAATTGCATGTGTTCTTGTTTTTGCTGGCTCAACTGTTCCCCTAGTCGATTAACTGCATTTTCATCATCTTTGAAGTCTCCTAGTGAATTGCTTGCAATATCTTTGAAAACATCCTTTATGAGATTCTTTGTCTCAGGCGAGTTTGAAACCCTTAAAAAGAAGATCTTCTTCCTGAATTTGCCTGTCCAAACACAATATAAGATATACAGACGGATATGGACTATGAAGGAGAAAAATCATGTATGAGGTTCATGGAAGATGAATATTGTGATCATTCCATGTCTGAGCTCAGCAGATTAACAATAAGACGTGCCTATCTGTAGAATTGAAGAATATTATTTTTACACTTGTGCAGAGGAAGGAACTTCACCAGACATTACCAACCCTGCCTTAATTGTTTCCAGTGCAATTTCATTTATGTTTGGTTTGAAGGAAAAARTAGGGAAAGGCTTTAGATTTCCCTTCCTTTCCCTACTTTTTCCTACAAACCAAACATAACCTTAGTATCTTGTAAAAATGATTTTAGTGCAATTCTGGTATATTTTTGTTTTGTTTCAAACAATGTTTTAAAAACCGAATTAAGGGCTGAACCATTTCTTAGGTCAAAAAGTTTATTTATTTATTTATTTTTTTCCATGAAAATAGTGGGGCAAGACACTTATTAATTCCTTGAAATGTATAGATCTCAAAAAGTTACCCAAAATCAAAGCAAAAAGAACCCCATTTGGACATGCAAGTGCAAAGTTATGGCCTTGGGAAGTTTGCACGTATATTGAGTGTGCAACCCATGACCCAATGACTATGTCGAATTGATTAGCGGTTCAACCACCTGGGTCGAACGGTTTTTGACCAAATCAATAGATTTTGATCCAATCATTGATTTTAGCCAAACTGAACCTTAAACCATGGCCAGATGATGATTTGAACGGTTCAACCGTCTGAATCAATAGTGTGCTAAAAAACCTGATTTCAAGGCAAATACAACTTAGTTCTGATTTCAGCACAAACACCAAGCACCTTCACACCATCTCGAAACAACTCCGACTTCAATTCTTCAAGAGGCTCCTCCAACCCAACAACAGTATCTGGGAGTCCGCRGGAACCGCGCATGACGTGGTGGTGGAGTTGGTAATTAGACTGTGTAGGAGCTGATTCCTTTTGCTCTCGATCCAGTCATTCGTCTGCCTGTTCAATTCGAAAAATCGGCTTATAGATTCATCATTTAATTCAAGCAACCTCTTTGCATACTTGTATCTCCTCCACAAGTTCCAACAGCGGATGCTTTGGCCTTTCTGGATTAGCCTTTGTCAGTTCTCATAGTGTGCCGTCAATGTACCTGTATCCTCTGCCGGACCATCTCCCAATTCTTCATCTAATCTCCTCCACAAATCGGGAAGTCATCACAAGGAAGCATTGTCCACTGAAACCGTTCCAACACCAGTATCAGCACAATAGTCATCCAGTGAAGAAGATACCAAGAAAACCCAAGGCCATCTCCAGAAATACACTCACCTACTACCAAATTAACCGGGGAGAGAGAGTGCCAACCACTCCAATTAGTAACCACAACTCAATATGGCCTCGACCTAATACTTGTTGTAGCATTGTAAGGAAGAACCCTTGGGGGTAACACACTTTGGGAACCAACACTGCCACCATCCAAATCCATAATTTATTCCAATCACATTTCACCACACCAAATAATCAAACTCAATTTTTCAATGTTCTACCTTCAAGTCGCTCGTTAGGCACTCAACCTGAACTTTAGCCACAGGACACCCCAAAACCATAAGAATCATCCAGCCTATTGCCTAAGCCCGTACCCAAGCCTTGGGGAAGATGTTTGTGGCGCAGCTCAAGAGTTCTCCTTTCACACCCACACAGCCAAGAATCAAGTTCAAGATGATCTTTGAGGACATAGATTGAATTGAGTGGGGGAGACTATCATAATCGAATCTTTTATTTGTGCTACTAGCAAGCCAACCAAGTGTCTTTGTGCGTGTATTGGGAGGGGAGCAAATGTATTTTGTATATGGGGGACTGCCCATTGCAGTATTGTAATTATCAATATGATTTTTCACAATAGTGATGCATCATTCTG